TGCATCATTTAGACATCCTTGAACCCTGCCCCCCAGGGGCTCACTCTTGCTAGGCAGTTCTCTTATTCCCAGGAAGAGTGATGGTACAGTCCCTCTTCCGGGGCCCCAAGTTGTATCCGGGCAGCCTGTCTGCAGAATCCAGTTCCAAGCTGGGCCTCCACAGCTTGTGCTGCACCTGGGCAGGACAGATTGCCGGGAGACAGAGGAGCTCTGGAGTGAACACACTGGCCGTGTGGGAGAGGCTACCGTGCCAACGCTGTCGTTTTCCACTCCAAAATGTCAGGCAAGAAGTGAGACCCACAGCATTCTTCCCCTGGTGTCTCGAATATGCAAGCTTTTGTTTCTACTGGCAACATCCAGTATATTTAGTTCTCTTTGGAGGAGTGTCTCGGCATAAAGATAAAAGAGCTCCTGAAATTTGGCATATTCAGGGGTCTAATTTACAAAGTTGGGACCAGAAGATGAAATGGCTTTCGAGGTTTTGTTCAGATTGTTAAAAGAGATGCCAAAAGATGTCTTTTTATGTTCAGCTGGCTTCATTTTTTAATGTCAATACCAGCTTAATGCTGAAGATAACAAATGACACACTGTAGTATCTTGCGCAGTTAATTTTTCAGAGGAAATTCAGGAGGAGGGCTTTAAAATCCTTTTAAAAAAAAAAAAAACAAAGCATATTTAGACAGACTAAATTTGGCAAAATAAATAAGCTCAGAGACTTCAATTTACCAAAAGCATTTTAAAAGCAAGAAGAGACACGAAAAGCAGAAAGTCTACTGAAATTCAAATAGTTTCCAAGGAAAAGTCCTGTAACCTTGAGGAATAATAAAGGCTCACGGATATATTTGGAATTTCTGAATGGTAGAACTGTTTCCTGAGAGCATTTTTAACATCCTGAGTGAAAAATGAGAACAAGGTCTAAGTTGTTTGGTAAAAGAGCAAAGAGCCCTTTGGTTTAAGAAAGAGAGAGGGCGACGGCAATGCCATAAAGGACTGGAGTTCTCCATGGAGTGGGAACAACGATAGCTTTTGCTAGAAAACTTCTTACTCAATGCCACATGCAAAGAACATATATACAATCATCTTTATTTCTTTTTATAGTCTCTTTAATGCCATCTTGAATCCTCTGAATTTTCCCTTTGCTTTCTAGCCCTGCACAAGGTGCTGGGGTCTGGGGCTCTACTGGGTAAGGCCTGCCAGGGACGTGGACCCAAGTCTCTTCATGTGCCTTTGTGGGACTCCAGGCCACCTGCAGTTAACGGCCCCCAAATCCTTTGTGCCTGGTGGCAAACATGCAGTGGGAGACAGGGCCAAGAGGGGAGGTTGGGGCCACACCATGGGAGGGTGAACCGTGGTAAGGACTTAGAGTTGATGCTGGAGTGGGAAGAGGGAGCAAACCTTGGGGACAAAGGAATGATGAAGTTCGCAGAGGCCTTTGGGTAGACTCAGGAGACCCCGAAGCCTCTGAAAGTGTACACATTCCTGTGCTCATGCGTGCTACGTGTGGGTGAACATGAGGACACACCCACAGCTCTAGTTTCTCCAAGGCCCTCACTGCTCTGCAAGTTCCTGGGGCCAGGCTGGAGAAGATGCTCCCTACCACCGTTTTCCCCAGCTCCACACTGACATCCCAGAGGGCACAAGCTGCCTCCCATGGACACAAATCAGCCTTTAAAACCTGGGGTGGGGGTGGTTCTAGGCATGTGCAGTGGCTCACACCTGTAATCCCAGTGCCTTGGGAGGCTTAGGTGGGAAGATGAATTGAGGCCCGAAGTTTGAGACCAGCCTGAGCAATATAGTGAGACTCTGTCTCTACAAAAATTTTTTTTAAATTAGCAGGGCATATGCCCTAAAATCAAAGTCTGGAAAGAATAAAAGAATAAAATTAAAGAACTAAAAAATAACAACAAAAAAAAAATTAGCAGGGCATAGTGGTGTGGCACCTGTAGCCCCAGCTACTCAGGAGGCTCAGGTGGGAGGATCACTTGAGCCCAGGACTTGAAGGCTGTAGTGAGCTATGATGGCTCCATTACACTCCAGCCTGAGCGACAGAGCAAGACTCTGTCTCTAAAAAAAAGGAAAACAACAACCTGGGGAGTTCCAGATGCAGGTGGCCCCATTAGGGCTCCTCTGAGATCTCCTCATGTTATTAGGTTTCCAAACTACCCAGGGTGTTTATTTACAACACATTTTAATGTCTAATGAATGGAGACTTGCTGAATAACTTCTGCAACAAGGTTCAGATTTTGAACTTTTCCCCTTTGGCAACCCCATCTCAATTGTTTAAAACAAAGCAGCAAACACTCCCAATGATTTCCGGCTCCTCTCGTGACTCCAAAGCAAAACTTTAGCCTTTGCCCTGTCTTCTCTCTCCTCCACCACCCACAGCAGCAAACAACAGAACTTGGTTGGGCCCTTTCAATTTTTATTTAGTAATAATAAATGTAGCCTCCTCCCCTTCACCCCACCCTTCTCACGCTTTTCCGTGATGACCGGGCTGCAGACCTTGCCCCCAAGCCCTTTGTTCTCTAGACCGACAGTAGCAGTTGAGGTTGTCTGAACAAAGCCTGAGCTCCACCTGAGATTCATTTTAGCTGTTTTACTACAACCACTCTGACAAATGGCACCAGTTTGCTAATTAGAAGCCCTTGGCCTCTGGAGCTGTGGGCTACTATCATCCCCCTGGGGCCACAGAATCTGGATGAAGGCAAGGGGACCATTTGCTGGACTCTGTTCAAAGCCCCTTTGAGGGGCCACCCCAAAGTGCAGATTCTGGAGTGGTTTGGCTAATTTCCACAGCATGGACCCTGGAAACCCAAAACACCACTCAGAAATGAGTATTTCTTAGATTTAAAACATTTAAATTAACCAACGAGCATTTATCACTGTGTGCCAAGCACTGGGCTGGGTTGAGAGACTCAATAACGTGTGTGTGTGTGTGTGCACCTTTGTCTGCCCCTCTTGGCAGGCACCACAGTAGATCCTGTCCTCTCCTCACCTGAAGGTGGGACCTTGCAAGGTACAGGTATCTGAGTCCCCTTTACCCCCCTCAGTGCCAGGATATGGGTCTCACACAAAGGAGACGTCAGTAACCCTGTGCTAAAGTGAGTTTGCTCATTCAGATGCTTGCTGAACTCTTAATTATATGCCAGAGACTTAGATAAATAAATTCCAGCCCCTGGACTCCACATGGCTGTATAATCATGGAGGACACGAAGAGAAGAGCTAACATTTAGGTAATATGACCTAAGACCTAAGCAAAGGAGGAAGTAAACAAAGGAATAGGCATGCAGTGAGTCTGGCAAAACTTTGCTTTGATTGGCAGGGCAAAACTGTTCACATTACCTGAGGCTGAGGGCAAGGACTTCTACTTACTTCTTTCCCTTCTGGCAAAGCCCAGGGGAAAAGAGAACCAGCATCGAGCCTCCAGCAGAGGCAGAATGTACTTGGACACTAGCCCTTTCCTCTCTCCCGCCCCACCTCCATGGCTCTGGCAACAGGGACACTCACCCCATGGTTTTGCTCAGAAACATGGAAAGGTCAGGACACTCCAGTGTCCTGGGGACAGGTACACTGAGAAGAACAAGACAGAAGGTTGATTTTCAGGAAAATTCAGGGGTAGAACTGCATGTTTTCAGAACTTGCCCAAAGTTAAATAACACACACACACACACACACACACACACACACACACACACACACACACACAAACACACTCTCTAGCCATCCATCCATTGCCCTCTCCACTTTGATTTTAGAAGTGAAAATTTTAACAGAGGTCAGAGTATTATGAGGTGGGAGGAATAGGGGAAGTGCTTTCTGTTTGAATACAAACTATCAACCCCCTTCGCCCATCCTACAAAAGCCCCTGGGCTGCATGAGAAAATAATACAAAACACACATTACACACTATAGTCCCATCAGAGTTTCTGAGTAAATACGGTCAGTCCTGCACTCCTCACCCCCACTCCACTCCCCGCACCCAACACATTCTAATTTTAGAGCTAAGAGCAAGGAACTTGACACTGGGTATGTTTCCATTTACCATGAAAGGCATGTTTCTCTGCAAACAACTGGAGGGCAGGCTTGGAAAACAGGTTTAAAGACCAGACTTGGAGAGCTTTGGCACGCCAACGCTCTGGAAACGTCCGCCATCCCACCCAGAGGCAGGAAGTATTGAGAATGAATGTGTGTTCTGGCTTCTTTCAAAGAAAATGATTTAATTTTAAGACTTTCAATTCATAAAATAGCCCAGCTAATTTTCCAAGGAAAATGGGCATATTTTATTTTTCTTCATTCTTCAAAGAATATTTGGGCCATGAAAAGAATTTATACTGAATTTCCTTAAAAGACTTAATTGGGCAATGTGACTTATGAGAGAATATAGAATGGTGAAAAAAGCAGGTTTAATAGGAATATAAACTTTTTATGGCTTAGAAATTAGAGATCAGTTTAGCTTCCATGATATTGACTAATAAAACACACACATACCAGTTTCTTTCAGTTTTGGAAGAAAACCCTTCAGCAGGCTTTGTAGATTTATAAATCTAGGAGTTATTTCTACAGAAAAAAAGCAAAGTCTTCGATTGTGAAGCTGACATTTTCCAACCTACACAGAGGTCCTCTTTTCCCAAACTATAGGTCAGATCCTTTTATTGCCACATACATAATCAAATTATCAATATTTCCCTTTAATCATCATCTTACAAGAGGAAAAGCCAGAAAACATTCTCAATGTAGTTTTTTTTTTAAAAAAAAATCACACAGGACTCCCACCTGTTCAGGCTCCCTGTGACCTCTTTCTTACCTGCCCACCCCTCTATCACCTGTCCTCCAGGTGGGCCTCACTCCGGGGCCATAGGCCCCCACAGTTCATCTGCTTTTCTTTCCATTCTCACTCTGCTACCCCTGACAGAGATCACTCTTCTTCCCCCATGCCCAGCTCCTTATTCCTCAAAATGAACTACTAAGCAATCAGTCCCCCTTTCATTCAAAGGACTTACTGCTAATCCTTCTGTGGAATTCGATGGTAGGTGCTGAAAGTAACAAGTATCAGGAAGCTGTGAAAGTTCAAGGAGTCTCCCCAAGGTCTCCAAAACATGCCTCAGATCGGAGCCTTTTTCCTTCTTATGTGACCTCAAGTAGCTTCTTTCAGGTGGTGTTGGATGTTGGGCAAAGCTGTAGAGATGGCAGGTCTTGTTAAATTTGATCTGGGTCCCCTGCTGGAAGAATGGATCTCAGAATTCCTGGCTGTTGTCTAAGGTGCACCTACCCAGGACCCAGACCCCACTACTCCCCATCCTGTGCCTGCAGCAGACTTGGCTAAACAATCACAGATGTGTTTCCTAGTGAGCCTGGATGGGGCCCCAGATTCCTCCTCAACAAGGTTCTATAAGCATCTCTAGCAGCGCCTTAGGTTTGGCATGTGAGATGGGCTTAGTTGTCATTCCTGCTCCACCCTGGCACATATCCTGGTGCTCTGAGTGAGAGACATGCCTATTTCCCAGGAAGGCTGGCTTCTGTGCCTCTTTGTCTCAGGAACGGTCATCCAACAGGTAGGCATTTGCCCTACTCACCCCAACTCCCCGCCAGGGTGCGTCAGTACTAAGGTTTTTATTAAATCTTTACCCAATTAGAGCGTACAGATTAGTCAGGGGCTAACTACTTACCTATAAGAAATTTGAAACATTTGGTCGCAACATGGAAAAGTGAGTTCACCTGACGCAGATGGAACAGTTTATCTGAGTTAATGGAGAAGGTGGGTGTGCCCACTTTCTACTGGATCCTCTTCAGGAGACGGGTGAACTTGGCCAGCCCGGCTCTGAAATGGTGGAGGAAGTGACTGAGGGGGTGAGCTTTCTTCACGCCCATGCACTCCACTGAGGCTGGTTTATGGGGTACTTGGAAGGAGTTAAAGCAGAGTGTGCACACCCAGGTTATTTTAATGCAGGCAAATGGCTGGGCTGGAGAAACTTGGAGAGATTTACTTGGCCATGTCCTCAGATCCAGGTCTTATGAGAATTAAGGTGCTCTGAAGTGGCTCGTGTGGTTGTACCTTCTTGCTAAGATACGAGTCATCTGAATGCATCCAATGGGGGCTGCTGGGGAAGGAGGGCATTTCTAATGTGAACACGGAAGTGTGGCGTCCAGATTCATGTGGCCCTGGGGTTTGGAAAGGAAACAGAGACAGCCTTTCTTTCCCATTCCTTAACTGCCCTGGGTGCCACAAAGTCACAGATTTGAAGCACTGCAGAGAAATAAAAAAATGGAGAAAACAAAGTCACCATTTCAGAAGAGAGCCACAAATGAAGCTCTAGGAATCATGCGTAAGTTTCTCTAGCTGCCTCTGGAGTTCCAGTGTGGGGCGTGGCTGAATTATCAAGCATCTGTCATCCCCGTTGACCACCTAGAAGACACAATATTTCCAGAACCTTCATGATGCATTTCACAATCAGTACAAAATTGTCTCCCATGAGCCAAACTCTATGCCTTGCTCATATCACAAATCGGCTGGAATGAAGTTAAAAGTCATGTCTGGTAATAGAAACCTACATCCAAAACTGAGACATCTTTTTGATTTAATACATCTCAGAGAAGACATCCCATAATTCCTGAGGATTGTTCAGACTTCTAAATACCAAGCATCTCCTGACTTGACCACCACTGATGAAAGACTGATTCTAGGTCTCTAAACTGTATGTTTTGATCTGAACAAAGTGTTTTGGACTGCTTTTGTGCTAACTGATACATGTCTACGTGTTTGAATAGCCTTTTACCACTGAAAACGTCATGCTGCTACACACACAGGTGATGGATTTCTGACGGGGTGGTTCACAGATGAAGAAGAAATTAAACACTCCTCTCCTGGGGTAATGCCTGGGTCTAACCTCTTTGGATTCTACATATTCATTCCTGAGGTTAATGTTTCTTCTTCTAACTCACTTCCCTTTTAATTTCTAGCCAAACAATTTTTATTTCAATTCAATATGTCCTGGAGCTTAGGTCCCTGATTCCAGTGGGAAAGGTCCCTCCAGGTCCCTGCCATTTGCCAAGCTGGAATGAGGAACGCCTCTTGGGACTAACAGGGCACGGCCTTCCCTGCTTCGGATCCCAGCCCCTCCTCCCTGCATGCTCAGTTTTCTACCCCACGCCAACCTCTCTCAGTCCCCTAGCTGCCACCCACTGCAAGTGATCTTTTGGAATTACCATTTTAATGAGTAAAAACAGAAGAAAAAATGAACTTCTTTACTGAGAGTAGAGTCTTTGGAGCACATCCTTAACAGGAACACCTTGGCCCTCCTTGCAAATCCTCTGATGGATCTAGAACCATCCAGGTGGTTCATGCCCTTTACCCTCTGCCCTCCATTCCTGGACACCGTGTGAGTCCTGGCTAGCATCTTCCATCCTCCCAGGCTGGGATCTCTGGCCTTTTTTGTGCTTCACTCTCTCTGCCAAATAGGCCTCAAGCCTCCAGAAAATTGGGCACCTTTTTCCATCCTTGTATATAAGAGGAAGAATGGGGGAAAGAGAGAACTTACTGACAAAGAATCCCAGATAGCACATTCCTGGATCTGCCACTATCTCTCTGTGTGGCAGCAAGAAGATCATGTCCACCATCTCTGGTTTCACTTCCTCATTGTTCACAGGACGGGTGGACCAGGAGACGTCCAAGGCCCGCCCAGGTCTAGCAAGATAGACTCTACCCTCCCTTGGAGAGCCCAGGAAGTTGGCTGCTGTGGATTTGACCCCTCCTTCTGGTCGTGGGGATCGAGTGGCTAGTACTGCCCCATGAATGGGGTGGGAGCAGACCTGCAGAGGTTGGTCGGGCAGCCAGCCAGCGCTTTGAAAAAGGACAGATGAAACCATGCCAAACATTTGTCTGGCACTTCACAGTTCAGACACTCTTCCACTTACATTATCTCTTTACAGAGGGGAGTGCACTTTGAGCACAATCCCCATTTTACAGACAATAAAACCGAGGGTTGTTTTTCCATTCTTGAGATACTTCACTTAGTAGAATGGGGTCCAGCTCTATCCAGGAATATACAAGAGGTGCTATATCACCATTGTTTCTTAAAGCTGAGTAGTATTCCATGGTATACATATACCACATTTTATTAATCCACTCATGAATTGATGGGCACTTGGGTTGTTTCCACAGCTTTGCGATTGTGAATTGTGCTGCTATAAACATTCGAGAGCAGGTGTCTTTTTCATAAAGTGACTTTTGATCTTAAGTATCTCAAGAATGGGAAAACAAGCACCACATGTACTCACCAGCAAATTGGTATTAACTGATCAACACCTAAGTGGACATATAGGAAGAGTAACATTTATCGGGTGTCGGGAGGGTGGGAGGGGGAGGAGGGGATGGGTATAGACAACCAAACGAGTAAGATTTGCAATGTTTGGGGGATGGACACGCTTGAAGCTCTGACTCAAGGGGGGATGGGGGCATGGGCAATATATGTAACCTTAACACTTGTACCCTCATAATACGCTAAAATAAAAAATAAAAAAAACTGAGGGTTGGAGGCTAAGTGAGCTGTTTCCTCATATGACTAGGAAATAGTAGAGCAGAGCGTACTGCCTGCCTTTAAATCTAACACGCTTTCCACTGCACCAGGATGACTAAGTTCCTCCTTGAATACTGGGCTGTAAAAGCCCTGACACTGGCCACGTGGGGGCAAGGGTGTGACCATGGCCCAGTGACCCTTAAGCCCTGACACACTACCTTACAGGCCACAGAGTGCTTTGTGGGGACATTCCTTTTTTTTGGATACCTTTTCACTTCAATTTACTGTTGCTCATGTTCTTTAGTTTCATTTATCAAAGCTTTTCATCATGTTCTCATAACTCAATTTCACCTTTGTAAGAAAAGTCATGGCGCTTGGGGGTTGGAGAAGTGGGGGCATCACACGCGGTGGGATTTGCCTTCTCCATCCCTAGGCATCCCAGTGTGACGTATGTGTCGTATATGTTTTTTATAATTCTTATTTTATTTTTATTTTTTGGTGACAGAGTCTCACTCTGTCACCCAGGCTAGAGTGCCGTGGCGTCAGCCCAGCTCACAGCAACCTCAAACTCCTGGGCTCAAGCGATCCTCCTGCCTCCCAAGTAGCTGGGACTACAGGTACACACCACCACACCTGGTTTTTTTCCTATTTTTAGTTGCCCAGCAAATTTTTTCTATTTTTTTTAGTAGAGATGGGTTCTTGCTCTTGTTCACACTGGTCTCGAACTCCTGAGCTCAAGCAGTCCTCCTGCCTCGGCCTCCCAGAGTGCTGGGATTGCAGGCCTGAGAAACACAGAGCAGCATTTCTTAAACTAAAGAAATATGGCTCACTAAAAAAACAACAACAAAAAACTCTGAAGCCTCTCAGTATGGATTTAAATTATTTTCACTATGTTTCTTTAATATGTCCAAACTAAATATAAACTAGATGTGAAATTTAATACAAACTTCTTAAGCTTATGGCTGTTCATTAAGAGTCTTGTTTTCCTGAAACCCAATTGCCAGCACTGGATAAACGGCACATGTAGCGTGGGCCTGTGTCCGTTGCTGCAGTGGACCTCAGTGATGCTATTAGCAGAGGATGCCTGGGCACCCAGGGGCATCGTGGGCACTAATAACTTCGGGTCTCTTTTGCCATGTCAGTGTTGTCAGACTTATACTGAACCCAAGCTCTGCCAGGAGCCACCTTTAGAGCCACCTCTAACTGTGGCCACCTGAGACCTCTCCCTTGTCCACTTGAAGATCCTGCTAGCTAATTCTCAGTGCAAGCTATTACATGAAAACAGGGCAAAACATGGCTCTGTGTGTGTGGCGTGTCTGCATACACATGAACTGGACTCTGATTCTGGCAGTCCACCCTTCCAGGTGGCAGTCTCCCATCTCACAGGGTAATGTCTTTGCATATGCAAATGCAGCCGTGCGCCCTGAAGAGCGGGCAGCACTCAAGTCTTGGTGGCCGCCCAGGTGATCCAGGAGAAGCTCATATAATTTTTTTGAGTCATCATTGCAGAAATCTCAGTATTCCGCAGACCTGTTGAGAAGTAATGGGAGAGGATACAAGACAGCCAGTCACGTGTCAGGTTAAAGGCCAACACTTGCTTTTTGATAACTCTATCATCCAACCACAAGTCCCCTAACTTCCCTGCACATCAATGGATTCATCTACAAAATGGAAATAATAATGCCTGCTATTCTAATCTTAGGATTGCTGCAATGCAGTGGTTCCCAAAGTGTGGTTCCCAGGCCAGCATCACCTGAAATGTGTCTCAAATGCAAATTCTCAGGCCCTACCCCAAACCTACAGAGTCAGAAAGTCTAGGTGAGGCCGAGCAATCTGTGTTTTGGCATGCCCCTAGGTGATTCTGATGCCCTCTAAAGTTTGAGAAGCCCTGCTGTAAAACAAGGAGACAATGAATGCAAACAGGTCCCCAAACTGCAATGCCCACATCATCACTGCAAGCTGCTGCTCTACATAAATGTTGGTCACTATCGTGTCACCCAGGCTCTCATTAAAACTCAAAGGTGTCGGTCATTCTCAACAAGCATAGCAGGCAGTTAGCTAAAAATAAACCCTTTCCAGAATAGCAAATTAGGAAGGTTAAGAGTCTCTGTATGGCAGACAAGGGACCAGGAGGGGGAAATGGGACAGGAACGTGGAGTCACACAGGCGTGGGTTCAAGTCCCAGCTCTGTACTTACTAGCTACATGACCTTAGGCAAGTTAATTAAAGGGCATCATGACCCTGTGATGATGACCATAGGGTTATTGGGATAATGAAATGACACAACACACCCAAAGCACATAGTGCAATGCATGTCTCATGCAGATAGTCAGTGATACCTTTCATGAATCACAGGGAGTCCAGGCTACTAGAGACTACCTCCCATGCCCGGCTCACTGCCCCTCAAACTGTCCTATCTGTAGTTGTCCTTATTATCACTAGCACTACCATCATCGTTGTCTCTTCTGCCAGAACTTCCTGACCTTAGGCTTAAAACTGCCACCCTACAATTAACTACCAAGGATCAAACACCAAGGAAGGAAAGGGCATGCCACATGGCATAGCTGACTCGAGGTGTGGGCTGGGTCGTTCTCTGGTCCCCAGAGGTGGCACTACAGTGTGCCACATCTGACACCTGAAGGATGGCAGGCAACCAGAGGAACAGGTCCTTCCTCTACGTCCAGCCTTGGACTGACAACCCTGGAGAGGGTGGCCAGAGGGAGGAGCCCAAGCAGAAAAGCACCTGGGAGACAGAGGGAGGAAGCCCGTGGGCAGGTCCCCACCCCCACAGAAGCACAGCAGGGCATCTCCTGCAGGGGGCAAGGAAGGTGGCCCCCCTCTAGTGACAGGTGACATGGGCAGAATGGAAACCTGGGCCCCAGTGAGAAGC